TCGATAGACACATAAAGATAGCATATAGTGTCGGAACTTTGAATTCTGTCCCAACAGATTAGCTTATCAGCGGTAGCTCATGTCCGTTACTAATTCAAGATCATTGGCATATCCAGTTGATGTGAGACTTTTGTTCCTAATTTTTCAATAATCTTGTCTCGAGGGAAGTGTCACTTGATTTTATCCCCTCAGTAATAATATATTTGGGGCCGTTAAATGAAATTATGTAATAAATTTTGATGACTTATGACTTAATTAGATGTCAATTTTGTTTATTATGTAAAACTCAAGGCAAATTAGTGGAATTGAAAGAAAAGAACGAAAAATGGGCAAAAATGAAAGAAATTCAAAGTTTGAGGACCGAAGTGTAAATATCCAATAGTTGATGATGATTGAGATCACATATGATCAACTGGATGCAATTCGAAATCAAAGGAATGAAATATAGCTGAAATATTCTCACAAATCAATTTGCAGTCGAAAATGTTATACTCTGAATTTTTATCCTTAATTTGAGACCCATTTTTAGGATAACAAAACGTTCGAATTGGAGAAATTATATGTCTAAAAGAATTATAATCTTTGGAGTTATTTTTTCAACGCATTTTGAATTACCTTAATCAGATATCAAGAAAGAAAGTCATACCAAAATATGTGAACCTGGCTCAGGGATGACACGAAGCAAATCCGCGCTCACAGACTATTTCGATATGCGCATGACATCAATTACATAACCCGAGAGCAAATCAACATGCCTGCTCGCGCAATAGCTATACCTACGCAAGTAACCAGTCCAAATTTTTTTATGACAGACCAACTTCATTTCATGATTCAAACTTTTATTGGCAACAATTTTGAGACTGTTGCTTGACCAAAATTTGACCCTTATAAATAGAAAACTTGGGAGAAACATTGGAGAACTGTGTTGCCTCTTTATACACGATACTATCATTAAATTTATTAAAATAAGAGGATAATTCATTAAATTCGAGAGAGAAAATCAAGCCTTAGCAAGAATTGAAGGCCTATTACATCAAGAAATTGAAAAAAATCAACTTTGAACTTGAATATCAATATTTTTTTGTATTCTTTCATGATGCGAGTGATATTTTTCTATTATTATTCTTGTAATTTATTTAAATCATGCTAGGCTAGATCCATTTTTTTTTCACTATTCTTCTCGTAATTTATTTATAAATCAAAACTAGCAGTTTAGTTTAATTCTTGTGTTTTTTGAAATGTTACGTGATATGATCGATAATTGAAAACTCCTATTAATTTCATGGTAAACGAATAAATTTGATTTTGTCATATCGCGTGACATTTATGTATTATCCTGATACATTGCTAGATGTTAATTTGGGACGATAAATATGAATTGGTGATAAATTAAAAATGGGTATTTTGATTTATCGATATAATAATTTATATCATTAGCTATCGTGATTGGAAACCTAATGGATTACACACAAAAGAAGAATTAGAAAAATAAGATTTACCAATTAATTAATTGACAAGTTTTGGATAATTAATTAATTGGATTGCTTATAAATAGGCCCGAATTACTTACTTGAATTAATTAATGGGAAAAATGTATAACTTATCAAATTATTTCAAAATTCAAGTGTTAATTTCAATTAATAATATATATAACATATAATTAAATGAAATTAATTATCCACATCCCACCCCACTTACCTATAAAAAAATTTCAAAACTTGAAAATCCTTTTTGGAAGAGTAATGATTGGGGCATATAATGAACACCATAGGGATGACAAAAAGGCTCGGGCCGCCGGTGGTTCGATCCGCAAAAAGCTCGAGCCGGCTTGACTCGAGGATCGGTCAGGCCGAGCCCCATCTTGGGGTGTCGGCCTGTGTGGCTCGCGGGGCGGCCTGAAAAAAAAAATGTTAAAAGGCAGCTTAGCTGCTTTTTAAGAAGAGAAAGAAAAAAAGGGCAAAAACGAGTCGGCTCAGCTCGGCCCGAGCCTTAATTTTTTGGCCGAGCTTTAGCTCGGCTTGGCTTGGGCCAAAAAAAGTCCGTTTTCAAAAATCTCGAGCCGAGCTCGTGCCTTGATTTTCAGCTCGCGAGCCGACTCGACTCGACTCATTGCCATCCCTAGAACACCATTGTGGTTTCCATTATATTCAAGTAGAATAATCATTTCTGGAGACCCCAACCCATCCCATGCATCCTTTGCCTATGCCACCCTACTCTGTCGCTACGTTCCAAAAATTTCCTTAAATTAAAAACTGGAATCACACCCCACTCCACAGAACCACGTACCCCACCTCCACCTCTACCTTCACCTCCCAAATAATTTCTAAAAATTAAAAACTGGATATTACTTCCCACCTCATGGAAGTTTGTATTTAATGTGATTAACTGTGATCAAATTGTATTCAGTTGACATCTGTGACCAAGTCAGTATTTAACTGTGAAAATATGTGATCAAATTACAATCAACACAAAATTGGTCTTAATTTTCACAATAAACATATACTTGCCGACAAAAAGTTACCACAAACAAATTTTCATACACCGCAGACCAGTACAACAATCCACCACCAGTCACCACCACCTTCACCTCTAACTTTACTGCAATCACAAACCTATATTATCTGTTACTAATTCTGACCAATTTTGTCTTTAGTTTCACTGCCTATGACTATATTATTCTAATTTGTGACTACAGTCACAATTAACATACATCTGGTCACAGACAATCACAATGCAGATAAACTTGATCATAATCAAGAACCGAACGAGTACAACCTCACCATCACTACCTAAACACCACCAACAAATCAGATCCAAAATTTTCACGACCACTATCAAGACCACCACCTCACAAGCACCATCAACATCAACTCCACTGCAGCCACAGCCAAGAATGGCAAATATAACCAACCAAAACTACTCCAAAAAATATATAGATTGAAAATAAAACATCACACCTAAAAAGCAAGTACGACTATGCCGATACAATAGAACCTGTGCACAGTCATACCATCGCCTATGGACTTACCGCGTTGCAAGCACCACCGCCTAGTTCTCCTGGATTTTTTGCAAGCCCCCCGACAATAGTGACGGTGGCAAATTAAGTTGCCACTGCTCGCAGTAGTAGCAACACCTTGCTATGCTGCTGCGCATGACGATTCTGGAGTTGGAAGAGATGGTACAAAGTGAGGGGTGGGATGCAAAGATGGAGTGAAGGGGGCAGCCCAGTGCTTCCAAAGTCCTTGTCCATTAAAAGGCCCAAAAAAATGTTTGAAATGTTTTAGTTTTAGTCCATTAGCCACCTCATTTTGTAAATTCAACTTGGCCCAAAATATTATTTAAATACCCAATAGCACATTACCCGATTATACGACAAAATGAACAAATATATCTCCTTCACTTTCATTCCACTTGCCATTTACGCATCTCTGGTTGTTGGGTTGAAAATTTTGAAAACAAAAATTCTCAAATCTTTGAATAACCCTAATAGGCTAATCCCCAATCTTTCTATTCTTTTCCCTAATTACCATCTCAAAGGAGAGTCATCGACCACAAGGAAGAAGAACAAGTGAAGTTTGAAGAGTTTCTATCGATTGTCGGCGAATTCGATTCGAACCCCATTTCTAGCCAACAACTCGTTTCCTTCGATTATTGGTTAGTAATTGTTGCCTTTTTTAATACATGTATCAAGATTTGAAATAACCTCCTTTTTTGGGTATTAAAACGATTTTTTTAGGCAAGGTGTTCAGATATTTTAATTTTTTTTGCTATGTGTAATGTGTTTGATTAATGATGATTTTTTTTTTTTTTATCTATGTTATGTTTATGAGTTATATTATTATGCTATAATTTTAATTTTTATAACATATTAAAACGGTGTACTGGTGTGTAACATATTCTAAAAAAATTAGAACATAATAAAGATTAGAAACCACTTAGAACATGGTTCTAATCTTTATTAAGTTTGAAGAGTCCATCGAATGTCCGAATCAAAGACAATGTGTAAATGGTTCTTATTGTTATTATGTTCATTTATATTTTTAATTTTTTTTTGATATATTATGTTTATGGTTATAATTTTTCTCATAGGCATTTGATTAGTTTGCTTTTAAAGCATCTAAACAAACTTAATAATTCATCTAATTGTCCCGTTCACTTCGTCAGCAAGACGACAACAAACTATGTAAGCACGAAGCAGGTATTTCGCTTGACCTTGATCAACTTGAATTATATTTTACGTTGGAATATGAATTTATGATGATTCTTAGATTTGATGTTGAATTTTTAACTAGTTATAATCTCCACTCTCTTAAAAGAGGATGAGGGCTCAGTATTCATTTTTGCACCCTCTATTTCACCCTTCTCTGGTTTCTTTACTATTCACAATTGGTTCTACCACTGTTCATAACGTCTTCCTCTAAGTAAATAGCTCATAACTCAGGTCCCAATTCATTTCCTTCGTCTACCTCATTCTGTACTTCCACAGAGAGAGAGTTGTAAACTACCGTTATTTTGGTCAGATAAAAATGGGAAGGAGAGTACTTCAAAGGGTGCACTGGTGCCTATACTGTAGTTCAAGCTGAAAAACTCTTTCGACGAAGCTCCTCGAGCGCAACCTATGCCTTCGATAATCGTGGAGGAGAAGGGGCAAGAGATAGAAGAGCTGGATAAATAATTGTCTTCATGAACTCGAAGGTGAAATCAACGCTAAGGTATTCCTTTTTGTGCCTTTTCACTTTTTCATTGAATTTTTTCTTAGATTTTTAGGGGGTGTTCTTCAATGGAATTTTGCTATGTTCTGATTCTTTTGTTTGTAAATATGTGTTTTATATGATACGGGGTATGGGGGTACTATATTAGTGTGATTTTATCTTTGTATACTCTCAAAATTCTTTCCTTCCATAAGCCTGAGTTCCAGGTGCTATCGAGTTGGAATTCCAGCAGTCAGGACCACTGTTCCTCAGTTGTGATTTCTTGAGATTTTGTTTGTCGGGTTGTGGCCTTGAATATTTGTTCAGCAAGGGCTTTTGAGTTACATAATTGACATTGACGTGGCTTCTTTATTTCATTATGCAACTAAAGGTGTTATGTTGGTTTCTTTGAAACACGTCAAAGATTGTGTTGTTCTTGGTAAATTCAAAAGCAAGAAAACAACAGCAGCCTTTTAGCGTCTTGTAAAGAAATGTAAAGGTATTGTCTTCTTATTCATTTGAAAATCTTAAGGTTTTTAATGTAATGATGTTTTTTATGTTCTATATTTGTTAATTTAATTTATTTGCTAATCTCAAAGAGATTTAATTAAGGATTACATTTTTGCATTTCATATCTTCATATGCGCAAGTATATTGAAAGAGAAATTTGCATGCATCCCAACGGATATCAACAAAAGTGGAGTTCCTAATCTCAGAGAGATTTAATTGAGGATTAAATTTTTGCGTTTTCGTATCTTCATATGCGCAATACCTTGTTTATTTTTTCTTTTTCTTGTTTAAGAACATTTTCAGAAGCTAAGAATCAAGGACATCGATTTCATCTCAACCCACATCAAAACAGGTAATTTGTTCTCGTCCTATATTTCAATCTCTGATGAGTTCTTTCCTCGACAAACAAAGAATGAATTCTTGTACAGTTCTAAAGAATTTGTAGTTGATACTTTTATGGAGAAAGTCCAAATAAACTTAGTGATTTACTAAATTTTTTCTATTCTTAAATTCCCATCTGCATACCATCTGGATTCATTTCGGTTTTCTTATAGATGTGTATGGTTTTAATCACTATCGGGATTCTTATGTGACTATTTACTGTAACTTCGAGTTCTTTTCCTCTGTGTTGGTATGAAGTTCTACGAAACCTTCACAAAAAACTAGAACATTTGCATAGAAATTGGAGAATGGTGACCTAAAGTATGTGAATTTCATATTTGCATTGATTTAGGGTAATTTTCTTTATTGAAATAATTTTTTCATCTGTTGATTCTCGATGATTAAGCTTCAAATCTTCCGTATTTTCAACTCAGTTTCAACCCAGAGTGTCTTGATGAAGAATTAAGTGCAAGAAAATAACTATTGAAAATTGATTTGTCTTAAACTTGTACCAGAGTCAATTTTTGATTTAAACCCTTTTCCATTTCAATTATCAATCATGATTTTCATGCTTAATAGCCCATTTATACAGAATGGTAAAGAGGC